CGAGTGTCACTAACCGACACTCGGCAAAGTTCTAACGGCCGGCACCCTGGTTGACGGCCGTCACACATGGCGGTTTTTTGCCGAGTGTCTTGTTGTGCTTTGCCGAGTGTTTTATTTCCTGCACTCGGCAAATTAGTTTTTTGCCGAATTTTTACCTGTAGGCACTCGGTAAAGATACTGTTTGCCGAGTGCCCGAAGGAATGCACTCGGCAAACCACCAGGCACTCGGCATATATACTGTTTCCGGTAGTGAATTACTAAACTTATACGTGCTTTGTATCCTAATAAATTGTCTATGATATTAATATCGTGTCACATTTACCGACTGATGATGCGTGCGAGGGCGCGCGCCTTATATCCATCATGTCTACCTTCACAAACCTAAGCATACACACTTACCAGCGCGCGAAGGCGCGCGAACTTCACTAGTACATCACAAACTAGGAGGGATTCATACAAGAAACCCCGCTACCACCGCAGTTCATCGCAGTTGTCCAAGAAACAATTTCAAACATCGCAGAAAAACAAGGAGGGATTCAACACATCACATCAACTCATCCACAAATCAATTTGTACATGACAAATTGGGATTCCACAAATTGATTCTTTCGCAAAAAAAGACAAAGTGGGATTCCACAACTTGATTCATACAACATACAGGGAGGCCGGAGGGGAGGGGAGGCCAGGAGGAAGAAGCCGCCACCGGGGCGCATCCACGCCAAGCCATTCGCTCACGCCAGGAACAAGAAGCCGCCGCCGAGTGGATCCACGCCAAGCCGCTTGCCATCGCTAGGAGGAAGAAGCCGTCGGGTTGGATCCGCGCTGGCGCCGCTCGTCTGCTCCCGCTGGGGTGGATCCACACTCGCATCGCGCCTAGGTCCCGACCGCTCACCGGCGCATGCGGCGACCTCGTGCCTGCGCCGTGTCGTGGTCCCGACTGCTCGCCGCGCCGGCGCACGCGCTACCTCGTGCCCGCGCCGGGGTGGATTTGGGGAGAACATTTGGAAGGAGGAGGTCTAGGGAGATTTGGGAGGAGGAGGAGGTCAGAGGAGATTTGTGGATTCGCTGGAGCCGTGGAGCGCATATTTGTGGATTGGGTTCGCTCCAGGAAAGAGAGCGGACAGAGAGGGGAAGAAAGGTCACAGACGTCAGCCTTGAGTTAACTGGGATGAATAAAAATTTCAGGTCCGGAACCTATGGATCACTGTCGGTTTGGTAAATATAACCGACACAAATATATATCACTGCCAGCCTTTATTACCAACCGGCGGTGATAATATTTATCACTGTTGGTTTGTTAGAAAATCCAGCAGTGATAGGCTTTGTCCTTACGAACCGACAATGATGCATCTATTAGTGTCCGTTTTAAAATTCCGGCAGTGATAGGGCCGGCAGTGATTGTTTATTCTATAGTAGTGGTTGGCCGCCACCGTGCCAATCCTCGGCCAATGCTTAGCCTCAATGCCGAACCTGGCCTTTAACCCCAGCCACACTGCACTCTTCCTCACTCGCTTTGCCTCGCATCTGTCCCTATTTGCTCTATCTATCACTTGCTACTGCCATGGCCACGCTCTTATGCTTGTTGTTGTTGATCCTCTAGAGCCCAACCAACATTCCCACCGCCTCTGATCCACTATCCTCTCCCTTGTCCTAAGCGCACTCAAGCTAAGCAAATCCATGATTAAGCCCTAAGTTTCACCACTGTGTTCTACCTCCTGCCCACTATCAGTCACCTAGAAGACACCTCAGCGAGCCACCTCTCCATCCTTCCTCCATCCTAGTAGTCAAGCCCACATACGCCTTGCGCAAGCTCACACGCATCTAATGTGTGCCTCTCTATCCAGCTCTACCGCTTTTCTCTCCACCATTGTTGGTCTGTAGTTGGGTTGTCACACATGGTCGGCCAGCCTGCCCCAATCCAACTCGAGCCAAGCCGAGATCACATATGGGTTTGAAAGTAGGTGGGGGTACCTCATGGGGTTGCTCCTTGCCGCCGATGAGGCCTCTACTTGCCGAATCAGGGCAAGCCCTATGCCGTAGCATTGATTAGGAAAGAAGAAAGGAAAAGGAGAATAGAAGAAATTATGTGGGCCTAAGTAATGAGGACATCACTTCTTTGGATACTAAGGATGGATACACACTACACTCCTCAAGTTGCTATGCAAGGCGAATCACTGGAGCTCGAGCACGACAATTTAATCTCTAGGTAGGCTCATTCCTAAGTACTCATTTTTGTGATTATGATAGTAGATTCCTACCTAATGATATTATTATTCTTAGGAACTATGGAGAGGTAAGCAAAGTATATGGAGAGAGACATGGAGCTAGAAGAACAATGTGGTTGTCCAAACCAAGTTTGAGACCCAATTCATATAAGCTTAAGGACAACCAGTCCAACCATTCCCAACTACCATAAAAGGCACGGTCATCGTCAGAACTTTCATTTGTAATGGTCGCGGGCTTTTCAAGAGCAATTTCTAAATTTAAATCACAGCACCTAAATGAAACCGAATTTGTTTAGACCAATCATTATAGTTCAGCCTTTTAAACTTAACAATACCATAACTTTGACACATTAAGTTAATATAAATGCAACAAATATTTAAATACGCCCACAAATTTTTAGAAATAAATCTGGACACAACGGCCCCGTTCCATTCGCTGAAAAAACAAGCGAAACATTGTTCCGGCTGATTTGTTAATGAGAGAGAAATACTGTTCCGACTGAAAAACAAGTTGAAAAAGACAGATTATAAGAGAAGCGAACAGGGCCAACGTTTTTTTTTGAGACGGGGAGAGTAATTTCGAACAGGAAGAAAACCATCGAGATACACTATCTCTTGCCTCAGCAAAGTTTGAGGAGGGACTATTCGAGATCTGAAAAGAAAAACACATGGGAGAAAACAAATTAAGAGAAAATAAAAAGAAAAACACATGGGGACACGGATATACTGCAGGCTGGTAGTAAGACTGTCTCCAACACCACCGCCTAAACGCATATTTGCGTCCCAGGACGGTGTTTTGGGTACCGGAATCGGCCTCCAACCGATGACTAATACGCAAGACATAATTTGCGTTCGAGGACAGAGGAGACACAAAGTTGCGTCGTCCTCCACGCTGCTGACATAAACTGCGGGCGCTGCCCTCTCTCGCTCTCGCTCTCTCCCGCCAGGCGAGAGAAGAGAGAAGCTGTGACGGGAGCCGCGGCGGGCCCCCTCCGGCGCGGCGCGGGGAAGAGGAGAGGGTCGCGGGCGAGGAGGCGGAGAAGCTGCGCGACGGGGAGCCGCGGCGGGCCCCCTCCGGCGCGGCGCGGGGAAGAGGAGAGGGTCGCGGGGGAGGAGGCGGCGCTCGCGAGGCGGCCGGAGATGGCATCCGCGCCATCGTCTTCCTCCCGTGCAAGGGCGGCGTCCTCGAGTTTGGCTCCGTCGTGCCCGTCCTCCATGGCGCCACACCTCCTTTTGCGTCTGCTGTTGGAGATGCAAGACTTGGGTGCGGGATGTATTTTACTGTGCGTGACCTATACCGTGGAATGAGTCTCGCTTTTGGGTACTCATTGTTGGAGATAGCCTAACAGCTCCAGCCTCCAAGCTCTCACGTTGGGCTGCACCTGTGCGCCATGCTGAGCCTGCGTGGAGCTCTTCTAGGCGAGGAATCAGCCAATGCATTGATGGTCCGATGTTCCTTTTCCTTTTTTTTAAGGAACCGATGTTCCTTTTCCTAGGATTGATGTAGACTTTTATGGGCCAACGGAGCTACGTCTTGGGCTGTTGTTGTGCCTATAATTACTATGCTTCATATTTGCCTAGTTCATATTTACTGAATTTACCAATTTACATATATAAATATATATATTTATATTACTAATAATAAGTTGAACTCTGGAACGGTACACCGGAATGCACTGGTATTGGTACGTTCCGTTCCAATAGGCTAACCGGAATGGTCACCAGACAGAATTGACAAGATTGCTAAAGGGTATGTATATATTGTCGCACTATGGTATGAGCATATATAAATAGTGGAAGCTATGTGCCATCTTGGTATTCTAACACAAAAGAAAATAGTTCCCAGCAAAGAGAACACATGAGAGTTTTATCATCGAATGAACAATAAAAGTAATAATTTTGAGCAAGTTTGATTATCCAATAGATATATCTATTTTAGCATCAATTGTGTGTCAGCCGTGTATCTAAATTTCATCTAAAGATGTTATAGACACATTTGAAGTTTTGTTGTTTGAATCCATTACGCTTACTCAAATTATTCACCACTAAACAACGGTGGTCTTTTTTAGAACGGAGGAGTAGCTTTGATTTCTAGATTTAGATCGCAGACGCAACAGGATACAAGATGTTCTGTACCGTTTTAGTCACCGGTACGAGATGTTCCGGCCCATACCGGAACCGAATTGATAACCATGCCCTTTAGTCTAGCGACCATCACACATATAGACATTTTAATAGTCACAGAAAAATATATAGACATTTTAATATAAGAATTATTTACATAATTTTTACAGGTGCCACTTTGAGTTAAAATAATAATCTAACAGTCAGGAAGTATGGATCAATTTATCGGAGGTGTGGGCTATAGCTGGTGGATTATATATGTGTTTAGCCCTCCTGTTCAACATTCAAAACCTCAGGCTAATTTTTAGTCCTAGATTCAAACGCGCTCTAAACTCATGAGTAGCAAATAGTATGCAGGCAGTAAGGAAACGCACACACATTATTGATGATTGTCATGATAAAGTGATAGACGATAGACTCAGGAATCAGGAATTCAGGACAAGATTCTTCCTTTATAGCTCACCAATACTATGCTATTACTTGTATATATAAAAATCAGCTGACACATAAATAGCAAAAACCATAAAAAATATATATATATATATATATATATATATCTCCACAATGCATGCAAACAAGGCAGAAGAAGGATCATTAGAATCTGATCAACGCATGCCTGCCTGCCTGCTTCCCACATCAACCTCGTAGCCATCAGCTAGCCCCCACACACTTGCATCTCCAGGTGATCGGTTTGTAGTCGGCGTGGTCATCGTCGTCGTACGACGATGGCCGCCGATGATTCTGAGCCGCCGCCGCCGATGCTCTTGAACCGTCGCCGCCGCCATCGCTCCCATGACGGCGGCTCTGCTTGTTGTCCTGCGGCGGCTCGATGGGGACCAGCACGGCCCCGCAGCTGCGGCCCACGCACCACCAGCCGCACATCCCCTTGCAGCTCGGCGGTTCCGACCCGATCATGCTCCCGACGACACCATCAGTGCCCTGTTTTTTTGACAAAATGCATGCAAAAGACGTACGTACAGTTTTATATATCAGTCCATGCATGTAAACCAAGAAATTAAACGTACGTACTACTTCAAGCACAGGTGGGGTTCGTCGATCTTGAAGTCTAACCAACCATGGAGTGGGTGCATGCGAGTAGGTTAGTTTAGTAGTCAGTAGTGAAGAAGGTGCATGTGCATACCTGCTGGGTCATGGCAGCGGCGGCGGCGGCTTGAGTAGCATGGCCTCCGGCGGCGTGCGTGGTGGCGACGAGGAGAAGAGCCAGCGAGACGAGGAAGACATGGCGGTGGTCCATCGGAACAAGCGATCAAGGGGAAGAAGAAGAAGGGCCGACTTCTGTGCCCGGCCCGGTGCCCGCCTGCATGCATGTGTTATATGCTAGTGCATGGGAATATATACCTAATATAATACTTTGACGTGACGTGCGTGTTGTTTACAAGTTGTATATACAAAGAAATATTGTTTGACCAGTTATATATGCAAGGAAAGTCTAGATCCTATTTTTTACTATACAAGGAAACTATATATCTCTTTCTAAAAGTACAGTGATACTCCTTATATTCTACTATATGTGCAGCGCTCTCTTGCATATATATGTAATTTCCTAATAAACGACCGATAAGAATTATGTTTTCATGTTTGAAGTAATTGCTCTCCGCATATATGTAATTTCCTAATAAACGACGGATAGGAATTATGTTTTCGTGTTTGAGTAATTGCTCTCCGCGCGTCATTGCATGCTGATATTTATGATGTACATAATAAATAAATATATATAATTGAGGGATTGAATGGATCCTCTCCACCTCATGAAACGAAACCGACAGCAAGCTGCCGGAAGTGTGGGGTTCGGTACTTCGGTGGCTGCCCATCTTTTTTTACCCTGCATGCACGCCTACGTACTGTACAACGCCACATTTTGTCTGTGGGGCCAGGTGGCTTACCGTTTACCCAGATTGTCCAAATATATATCTCTATCTCTACAACTAAGAAGCAGCGATAGTTTTCGTCCACCCGGCTAATCACCACGTGCCGTGCGATCCCTGACCACCCCGACTCCACCACCCCGGCGCGATTTTTACTGCACCGATAGGTGGGGCCACACCCGCACCATCTGACGCCACTCGCTCGTACGATTGCCTCTCAGAGTCTCGGGCCGCCACTGCAGCTACACCGCGCCCTCCGTCGCCGCCCCGCCACCGGCGCCATGACCGGCGCGGCAGTCAACGCGATGGGTCTCTGCGGTGGCACTACCTCCGGCCCTCCGCATCTTGGCCCCACGCCGTAGGAGCCGCGGTCGGGCCTTGGCATCCTAGACCCACGCCATAGGAGCCGTGGGGATCGAAGCGGGGTACGAGCCGGTGCGAAAGGCGGGGCCGGTGACCATGACCGGCATGCTGCTCGCGCTCCACGAGACGGAGGCCGAGCGGGAGGGGCGGATCGGACTGCTACAACCCCTACGTCGTGCCCTCCGCGCCGCCCCGCCATCGGCGCCATGAACAACGTGGCAGCCCGTGCGGCGGGTCCCCGCGGCATCACCGGCATCCGCATCCCAGCGCCATGCCGTAGTAGCCGTGGCCGTGGGGGCCGGAGCGGGCAGCCCCGACCCTGGGGGGTTCGAGCAGTGCGGTGGCACAGGGCCCTCGAGTTCAAGGGGCCCCAACCCCATATACGTAAGTTGTAGGTATAGGAGCCCAATAGCCCATGGGAAAGCCAGGAGCCCAGGACACGGAGAGGCACGTACGTGAAAGTGAAACGCGTCCATCGTTTTGGCTTCCGCGTCGGCACATCAAGTTTCGCCCTTCTGCCGCGCGGCCGCTCCGCTGCGACCAGCGACTGCGCGTTGTGCTTGTGCCATCATCGATTGGTCGTGCGCCCCTACGTTGTGGAGCAACCAGCGCGCGGCTGCTGGCCAGCGGCGCCCAGCCCACCCTCCGTTCAGGCACTAGGGCAGTTGTAGACAAGACATCCAAAGTTTTGTACGGAGGTACCCAATAATTGCTCCCCTTTTATTGATGTATGCCAAGTATATATATTTAATCAAGATTTAATTTGCTTTTCACCCCAATCTTTTTCATTAGAATACAGGAATTTAGGAATCCTTACGGAGTCAGGATATGATGTTAACTAGGGCAGCGAATAATTTTTTTGAGTTGTATTAAAGGGCCCACCTTCCTAGCTTGGCTCCAGGTCTCTGAACTGACAGGACCGGGCCTGGGAGCGGGGTTCGAGCCGGCGCGGAAGGCATGGCCCGTAAGAGCATGTGTGTCTCGTGCTCCATGAGACGGAGGTCAAGCAGGAGCCGCGGATCCGCGGCACGTTCGCCTTCTTCGACACCACGGGACATGGGCTCGACTAGGCGCAGATCCAGGCGGGCATCGACGCACTTCAGGTGCCCGCCAAGTGCAAAGTACGCGAGGTCGCTGGCTTGCCTGGCTGCCAAGTTCAAGAGCGAATCCTTCGTCCAGCAGTGCGGTGGCAAGAGCGGCGACACCTGCAAGTAAGCATTCCATCACATAATCACCCTGCCTGGGTTCTGGTAGCTGTAGCAATCACGCTGATAAATTTAGTTGTAGATTAGCTGAACTCTTGATGCTCCAGAGTTCAGATTTCATAGTGTAAATTCTACTAGATGTTGAGGATTTTCAGGAACCAACTGTTGTGCTTAGCTTCAGCTCAAATAGAGGGTTACTGGGTTCGGTAGATGATTACTAGGTTGGGGCCCCTTAATCTGGAATTTCTTGCTTTTCATTTGTTGGTCCCTTGCACATGTAGGAAAACGACATTATGATGCATGTGCCATGTATTATCATTTCACCTGAATGAGAAAAGGTTTGATTGAAACAAGAAATTTAGAGTCAATGCTCTCTGGTGATACTAAGTTACCCTGTAAATGAACCTCTGAACTCTAATTCCCAAAAATAACAGACCATACTAATTTATGTGTCCAACCTTGGCTTAATTTGGGTCAAGTAAATTGCATTTATCGTTCTACTGTTAGCACTCAATAGTCTTAGGGGCTTAATTCAGGGTTCTATGTTGCCTCTAATATTCCATAGGTAAGTAGTGTGGTCTGAGTTTAGATCCTACACGTCATGCACAATGCTAGGTGCTGAGGTAGAAGAGTTCATTGGAAATTGATTGGTACAGCCATTTCAATCGATAGTGTGAGCTTGTTTGCGCCATGGAGGACTAATTTACTGTGACCCGTTGTATAGTTGTTTTCTTGTGTGGTTTACATGACACATGGTCTACAATAATGTTCAACATTTATGTACATAGACTGCTGGTAGAAACTAACATATCAAATTATCAATCCTCCCACCCTTCCTACTACAGCGTAGGATGGTGAGGAAAACAAGCAACCTGGATACACTATAAGTAATGGGAAGGAGCACCACAGTTCTGATTTTGGCACTTCATTTTCGGTAAGTGGTGGCAATGATAGGATCATAGGAGTCATGGGAATATCAAAATAAATCTTTCTCTAGAATTATTTATTTTGATAATCTAACTAATAGCTGAAGAGTGCACTGAAAAAGCCTGGAGGAGATGAAATGCTGAGAGGCATTCTGATACACCATCAGCATATACATCTCATCCAATATTTCTTGGACGAACTTCTATATGTTGTTTATCCTTCTTTGTATACCTTCTGCATTGTCTCTGAATGAACTACTTATTAATTTTTGTAAATTCCTTTAGACACAACAGTGCATTTCTTCTTATTTGCATACAATAAATTCTGAAGTCCAAGTTTTCCTTCAGTCAGACAGTCACAACATGGAATTTATTCTTGCTTGCAGATCACCAGTTCTGAAGTTCGAGTTCGCACTAAAGGTTAGTTCTACTCTTGGTTACACACTACGTGATATATGATTTGTAGGGGCGGCTCTAGAGGCTCTGTAGGGGCGGTTTGCCCAGCCGCCCCTACCCAAGCGCCTCTACAAATCATATATTTGTAGGGGCGGTTCCCAGACCGCCCCTACAAACCGATTTATAGGGATGACTGATAACACCAGCCGTCCCTACAAATCAATTTGTAATTTCTAGAAATCACGAAAGAAGGGTAAAAAAAAATAGCAAATATTTTTTTTAATCCGAGGAGGTCCCCATCGGTAGCGACACCACCCACTCTATCGTTGTAGCATTTTTTCACAATTTTTGCACACTTTGCATCGGGCAGGATTCGAACCCGCAACCTCTCCCTCACGCACAAACCCCTCTACCACTGCACCTCACGATCACTTGTGTCTACAACCCATTTCGGTTCCCCACATATTATACAAAACTGAGCATAAATTGATTGTTTGAGGCCTTAAACTAATTCAAATGAAAAAAGTTGTCAACTACAAAGTTTTATAACTTTTCAAGATCTACAACTTTCATTTTGGTAGTTTCTCCATCCGAGGTCATTTATAAAATTTTAATTTCAAATTTAAGAAATTCGAACGTAGTTTTCCATAACAAGATGATTTCAAATGAGAAAGTTATCAACTACAAAGTTTCATAACTTTTTAAAGTCTACAACTTTCATTTTTACTGTTTGTCCATCCGAGGTCGTTTAAAAAATTAAAATTTTAAATTTTTGGAAATTCAAACGTAGTTTTCCTTGACAAGATGATTTCAAATTTAAAAGTTGTTAACTACAAAGTTTCATAACTTTTCGAGATCTACAACTTTTATTTTGGTTGTTTCTCCATCCGAGGTCGTTTACAAAATTTGAATTTTAGTACTTAATTTTTAATACTCGGCGTCTATTTGTAGGGGCGGTTCAATATTGAGCCGCCCATACAAATCCGATTTGTAGGGGCGGCTAGATATCGAGCCGCCCCTACAAATCGGTCCATTTGTAGGGGCGGCTGATAACACCGGCCGCCCCTACAAATCCATTTGTAAGGGCAGCTCATTTGGCATTTGTAGGGGCAGCTCAATATAGAGCCGCCCCTATAAAGAAAGGGAGGCGTTGCTACAAATCGTTTTTTTTAGTAGTGACAATCTTCACGTATCGTTGTCAGAGATGGAACTAAAATTTCTTCTGTTGGCGCTTCATCTACTTTTTATAAGTGTGTAGAATTATGTAATATAATGCTGATTTATATGTGAGCAACACGCTCTACTTGCAGCTTTCTTTTGAAGATGACAAATATTTTGTTTGTTTGTCGAAGTATCTTTATCCAATAATCTGTGTTGGGCTCGAGGTACCTATGGATTTATTACTTAATTCTTATAGAACTTAGGTATTCATTTCTTTGCTTGCATTAGCTTCTCAGCAATGGTTTCTTTGGTGAACTT